TCCTGGTTCACTCAGTGTTTGAGTGTCGTCGGACTCACTTAATGTCTTCACTTCGTCGAGAGGCCACAAGCGTACACTCTCTCCTTCCCCCATCCGTCCACTCCCTTGCTTTAGGTGCTGATGCTGACAAGCCTTCTAATCCCTACTGGCCACATCGTACTTTGGCCCTGTTGTCGAAATCTCTCTGTAATCAAGCTGTCCCACTGACGCCGAAAAACGCGACTCCAAAGAATAGCGTGGGGGTAGGTATCACGATTTGTGAACGCAAGGAAGGCAACGAGGTCTCAAAGGATTGCATTTCTCAGTTGGCGCTAAATCAAATGAATGAGGAGAGAAGAAATAGTATTCAGTTTGTACTAAGAAATATCATCCCCATTCACACATTCTGGATGCTGATCGTGTTGAGGAGAACATGAGGTCACGAGGACAGAGATCTCTCATCCAACCTGCAACCAGTAGTCATTTTAGGGACAGAATACCCAAAACAGCATTTAATGAATAAGTCTTGTGCCACTTTATGGTATAGAAGAGTTATACCACAAAATTGGCATGACCTCAATTAACATATTCCACTTCATACGTTCTGTCTCTTCAATTTCCCCTTCGATATTGTTGAAGCAGCTTACCTAGGTTTGGGAATTTTGCTATTGAGATTCCTTAATACAAGTTAGGGCTTAATACCGAAACATTCCTATATCATACATATATATTTTTAAATATGAATATTGATTGGTGGATTTGAGAGCTTTTTCTTGTTCTCATAAGCTAAATATGCAACTTGGCAGATTCCTGGGCATTAAAGCTTTATAAAATTGCCTTGAAGACTTTGAACTTTGAGCAAATTGTGCTGATCATCCTATTAGAAGTTAGTAAAGTAGACAAAAATTTACTATTGAAGTAATTAGGGGAGCAATTGCGTTAATATTATAGAATTTCTTAGAATGATTTCGAAGTGAAAGCGGACTAGGCAAGCAGGACAGGAATGAAGAAACTTTGTCGATTTGTTAAAGTGGGAACACATACATACACATGTATATGTGAGTGCATCCGTAGTGCAAATCAATACTGTATACCGATCAATAATTATAAATAACCTGCTTCCATATCTTTATTTTAAGGTATCGATCTAACAAGTTAGTTTCTTTTCTGCTTCATGATTCTTGTGATTAGAAATACTGAACATAACCCACCAACTTGTAGTATTGAGGGACAGGGTTGCGCGATAGA